AGAAACTTTACAATGAGATTAAGATTTCAGCTGTTAATCAAGTCATAATTATGGGTGATTTTAATATCAGGCAAATGCTGGAGTGAAACCAATAGAGAGAAAAGTTTTTGGAAACTGTTCAAGATGGCTTTCTTCAACAATTAGTTAAGGACCCAACTAGAAACAATGCTATTTTAGATTTATTGTTAACTTCAAATATAGAAATGATAAAGAGGGTGGAAATTAGGGGAACATCTGGGTGCAAGTCATCAATGCTGTATTAGGTTCAATGTTTCGTTGCATATGGAGATAAGGAATAATGATATTTTGGTTACAAATTTCAAAAAAGCAAATTTTGAATGGATGTGACAAGAATTATCTGTTGTGAATAGGGCAGCTGCTTTATTTGGAGACACTGATCTGATGTTGGAAATTTTTAAATATGCCAGATAAACATATTCCTTATAGAAAGAAAAGGGTAGCTGAAAGTGAAAAACCAGGTTGGCTCACAAAGAGTTTAAGAGACAAAATTAAAGAAAATCATCATAAATTTAATAAATTTAAATTGACTGGTATGACAGGAGACTTAAAAGATCAAAAAGGATGTATGAGAAAAGGTTGGCTGAAACTGTAACATTTATCAGTAAGGATTTCTTTAAATATATTAAGGTTAAACAAAATGTTAGGATTGTGGTAGAACCCTTGAAGGGATGATAAAGGAAGGCTAGTATCTGATGATTATGAGATGGCTGGGTTATAAAAATTTTGCTTTTTCTTCATTTATCAACTGATCAAGATGTGGAATACTGCTTAAATCTTCATTAGTAAAAACCTGGAAACAAGATCAAACAAAATGACTGCATTAATTCTGATCTGGTTAAAAAAAAATTGGGAAGTTTAAAAAATGCCAAGGCTCCTGGGCCAGATGATATTTCCCCAAGGGTTTTGAAAGAGATTAAAAATTGGATATGTGAGCAACAGATATAATTGGAACTTCAACAGTACTAATTGCAAACAATAATATTGATTATTTTTGTTACAATATACTTAATTCTAAGTTCAATTAACTGACTGTTGAAATAATAAGAAAAACCACTTTCCATTAATTGTTTAGTTTTTGTGACAATAATTAGTGTAATTGTTGCTAATAGATAAATAATTATATCCATTATTCATTTAAACTAGCTAAAATGTCACCCTTCATGCAGCTGTTTGTGCTAGTAATTACTAATCATAGTATTCTTACCTCATTGAAAAAAAAAAGTTAGAAAAGGTGAACATTTTCTAAAACAAAAGGATTTTTCTAGGAAGTACCGTAAGGGAAAAATGTTTGGATTGTGCTGATATAAACTGTAATGTTTTTACATGTCAAAAGTGGTACACTTTATTGAAAAAATAATAATTTTTTTAAGAACTCCATTTTTTTAGTACTATATTTACAAATTACATCAATAAAGATCTAATCAAACCCTCACATAAAGTCCTAGTAAAAATTTTGTTCTTGTTATGAGGAGAGTACTTTATTTAAAACTGTGTTCTGATAAAGAAATGGTTATTACACATACCATAATTATTTTTCTGACTGAATCTTGAATACCAAAGGTGTATATATTTTTTATGGATTTTTGTTTGTGGTGCCACATTGTATTTATCATTTCGGTCACATACACAGATAGATACATATATACATGCTATGTCCATTATAGTAAGATGACCCAAATATAGGCATAGCCCAGTTTACTTTCAACTTTTATTCCTTGTCCTACTGCTTCTTCAATCTTACCCTCAGCAACACAACCTGTCTTATTATAACATTCAGTTCCAATACCACTAGTACTCCTTCAATCTATCCATAACAGAAATAACATGGTTTTATTACAGCCTTCACTCCTCATACTACTGATCTTTTAATCCTACCTGAAGTTTACATGACCTAGTCTAATTAAAGCTTTCATTCCCTGTGCTTATGAACCTAAAATCATATTCCAAGT